GGACTAATGAGAAGGAGAGCTCTGCTGAAAGCTTCTATACTGGCATGGTAGTAATGTGCCTGATTTAATTTGCGTAACTCATATGGACTATCAAGATCAGCTTTTGCTTATGATTAAGCAGATTATCTGATGAAATTTTAGGGATCAACAGATTATATTCCTTAATCCAAAGATGTAAGTAACAATGAAATCTTATTATGCTTTAGAAAACAAACAATGCAATCAGAGCTGATCTCAAAATTACTCAGAAATCTCTTAGTAGGGTCAAGGCTAAGCACCTAAATTCTCCCCAGAAACACACACAGATTCTGGCTTCCAGACTTCCCTCTCGTACTGCAAGTACTCAGACAAAAGATTGAGGGAACCAATTTATATCAGGTAGACCATTCAACTTTTTTTCCCAGTATTTTATGGCAAAATCCAGTTTTCTGTTTATTTATACCACATTCAGATGCTTGCATTCGTTACAATTGCAATATAGCATAAACTGAGTAGTTTATTTTTAATCTCCTTGCTTTGGCTTTCACTACCACATGCCATTATCCTTGTGCTCCTGCCAGCCTGCAGTAAGATTGGCTAAACTCTAATTGAGGGTATTTTATCTGCTTTCAGTAATTTATGATATGCTAGCACTTGCAGATACTGTATGGCAGAACATCCATATATTTACTTATAGAAAAAAGCCTGGGTTTTAATGTTACCAGTGAAACAGAAATACTAGAGGAAAATATGATGTGATCAGAAATGTCTCATTTTACTAACAACATGTACTTCTGACCTTCTAGAAGTCTCCTTTACAAGCCATTACATAAGGTAAATTAGCAGGGTGGTACAGAGAGTGTAACTGAAGCACAAACAAGGAATAGCTGCTGGGCAGGCAATATTTGCCCAGTGTTGTGTCCTGCATGGTAGCAATGAGTGCTGGTGTCAGGAGACTCTTGCAGATGTGGCAGGTGAGCATGCAGACAATAGACAGACGACTGGGAAGTTTGTAACCCAGCAGAAGACAAATTAATGTCTCCACAGAAAGAGCAGATGTGCAGATGTGGAACAGAATGCACAGGCCAGGAAATGCCTGAAAATGGGATTTATGAAATACTGCATGAGCTGATTACATGGAGCTGCTGGTGAATCTGCAAGGAGGGAGGTGATGTACGCAGCTGAGAGCACGGAACCAGAAAATTCATGACAGAAAATGACTTCAGTTCCCCTGCATGCTCTTCAGTGTGGATGCACAGCATGTTTGCATTCTGTAGTAAAGCCCAGCATCAGAAAGGTCTGAAAACTGTGATAAATATCTTCTTACCTCTACCCAAAAGCAGAGATCATGCTGAACCACTAAAACTTCATTCTTTATTTCATCCAAGCATTCACTATAAACATAGAGGTCAATCTGATTATTACAAACATAATAAAATCTTGCACAGAGTATCAACAGATATTTGGCATAGCGCTAACAGGAAAATTTTCTTCTAGGGTAAAAAAATTCACCAAATCTTCAGGCTCTCTGAAGCAAAAGTCCAGACTGCAGGAACTTCTTCTGTAATGTAGACAAATGCATCCATTAGACATTGGCCTGGTGCCATCAATCCAAATAGCAGAGAGATTTTCAGATAAAAAGGCCAGCACATTATCTCAGTCACACACCATCTAAATTGGTTTAATCTAGACAATTTCATTAATTTGTAAGAAAGGAGAAAGTTCCCAAAAGCTCTATCAATTAGAACAGCCTCAC